TAATGACGTTATTAAAAGCCATGCCGATGAAAAATATAAGTGGTAGTACTACTCACATAAGATGCATTGATAAAGAATAAATTGCCACTTCGTATCAAAGCACTTAAGTTATTTAACCTGAAATAACTTTTATTTTGAGTCCTCTCTATGTGATATGACGACACTTTTGATAAACATTTGTAATTATAAATATAAATGTACCTGTAGGTGTAAATGTAATAAAAAATGCATAAAAAAAATAATATAATATTTATCGGTGTATATAAGTATAAGTAAATTATGTAGTGTATTGTACATTATAAATAATAAACTTTGCTTACTTATCAAAAGAATGGGTAACCAGAATAATGCGAAAAAAAATCTTAATGTAAGGGTAAAAAAGGTTTGGAAACAATATTTGTATTGCAAAAGCAAGCGACACGAGCTGTCTATGCCTGGTGTAACTACAGCATCCTTTTAAGCAAACTTAAAGCTGCCGACGATGAACGACTCGAGAACATTATGTATGCACGTAATAATATCCATCTTTTAAAAAAAACATACCCCATTGCTTCGGGCCCGTGGTGACACTCTGGAAGTGCCAAGGTTTAGAGTGGCTGAATCGAGAAAGTCGTTTCTTGGAAGCATTAACTTTTATCATAAAACACGTGACATCCTCAAACAACTAAGAGAAAGTGTCAACAATTTTAAACGTTTTGTAAAAGCTATGTTAATGGCAAGGGCCTAGAATGTCAACGAATACATTGAGGACACGATGTGTGGAAATTATTCTTGCTCTGTACTTGCAGGTACCCTGGCTACTACTGATTTTATATTTTATATCTAAATAATTTAATATACTTGTATCATTAAAATAAAAGATAATAAGACCGCAGTAGATGACTCCGTGGCGCCGTTGCAAAGCTATTCGATTCCCACATGGGACAAATATTTGTGTGACTCACAGATCATCGTTCCGGATCTGGGTGTTTGTTTAGCAAGGAGGGTGACATTAACCCTCCTTGCTAAACAAAGACCCAGACAGGCAGGCGGCTGGTCGTATAAAACCCAGCCAAAACCGCTTACAACATAGTTCGCATATTGTGCCGGTCCCACCTAGGTGGGATAAGGGCAGGAGGATGATAACGATGATAAACAAAACCGCAGAGTTTCTTACCGGTTCTGCTCTGGATATTTTAGTGAACCGATGGTAGTGTTTTGACGTTCAATAAAAGCATAAAATAAGCCCATATTTAAAAAAGAAATTTTGATTTTGGCTTAAACCATCTGGACTTTATTCTGTCATCATGTCGTTCGTAATGCTTTTCTAACAAAAAAGGGCAGAACAATAAGTATCCGCTCAAACGTGTCTTCAACTAAGTGAAAATCTCTTATTTCCTGTTTGTTTCTTTTGTCGCGTAACAAAATAAATATGTCCACTTCTTGTTGTTCGTACACGGCAATATATCACTATTTTCTACGTGAGCCAAATCGAATCTCATTTGGTTTGGATAACTTTCAGCGGATAAATTTTACGTAGGTAGGTATTAATTTATTTATTTAATCTTTATTGCACTAAAAAATTAAAAAAGGCAAGATTAATGCTATATTGCATTCTCTACCAACTAACCTAGGTAGAACAGAACCATATTGACAAAGGCTGTAAAGCAGTTATAAAGGCTACATAAGCAAATAAATTATTATTTATTTAAATAATATGTCATTATTAATTATATTTAATGAAATAATATGTAATTATTAGGTAATATATCTAAAAAAATAACAACATATAGCTACATACATAATGTTAATGATTCTCACTTAGCGAAATACATAGAATCATAGACTAAGAGATGAGGAGGACGATGTTTAATGTTTTTTTTCTACCTATTTTACCTGTTGTGCAACTACACGTCATACAAGATCCGTTAGCTGCAAGTCATGTTTTCTATTATTTTTTCTGTAAAAAGCAATCAATTAGGAACCTTTTAACAGGCATATTTTCACTCCTAAAAAGGGGAAAAAATTAAGTGAGCTAATTAATCAATTTCACCATAGCGACCGATAACGAGGGAAATTTAACCCTTTCCAAATTGAAACAAAGCTGTTTGATCCAAATAACTTGGAGGTTAAAATGCTTAAATTTGGTGTTAATTTTTCAATCAAATAAAGAGCAAAGGTGTAATATTATCAGGTCAATTTATTTTTATTTAAAAAGAGAAACTTATCATAAAATATTTATGCATATAATTTTTTTATCCCAAGGCAAGACATTCAAATTCTATAAAGATAGATGTAAAAATTTATAAGAATCTAGTTTATAAGAATCTAGAGAAGCTAGTTTTTTAAATCGGAATCTCAACCCTTAATGTACAGGCCCGTTTACAGGGAAAGGTTTTTGAAGACGATAAGGGTCCATACGCTCTCGTACTTTTTAACTATATCCTTGTTACATTTGTTATGATTTATCAATGTTTTTAATTAATCATCAATAATTATGGTAAGTACCAAAAAAAGGTTTTCCGTAACTAATCAAGCGCATCGTTTTCTGGAGTAAAAGTTGGTCGTTGACTTTACTCTTTAGGAGGAAGGCCATTTATTAGGATTAATAAAGGGAAAAACTTTACGCAGAAATTTCTTATCGATTATCGTGTTTCTGTACAATACTGATTTAAAACGAGAAATTGTACAGTGGATCAGTGACTATCATTGGTTGGGAAACACAGCAGGAGTTTTTCTTTCAAGTTATTTTGAAAGTTAGTTTTGTCGGAAAAGATTTAAGTGAAGACTAACAATAGCGATAAATAAAAACTATGAACATAATGATATTTGCCTGATAGTCTCCTATATAAATTATATCAACATTAGAAACCCACCCCGGCTTCTCGCGTGTGTTATGTATTATATATATATAAACCTTCCCCTTGAACCACTCTATCTAGTAAAAAAATCCGCATAAGATCTGTTGCGTAGTTTTAAAGATCTAGGGATTCGTTTTAGACAAAAAGTATAGAAAAAGTAGATAGAATGAATTATTGCCTTAGAAAGGGGATGTAAAAATAAATTGTTTCCAGGGAATAAAACGACGTTCTTCACTAAGTTGGGACAGACAGACAGCGGGACAACTTTGTTTTATACTATGTAGTGATTAAACAATAAAAATTCGTTTGCTGCATCTCCAGTGAGTAAATACTGATAAACAACTGTGCGAATACCACGTCCGTTCTTTATTAAATACACCATCACTATGCAGTAGCAGCTCAATTCTCTGTAATGTGCCTTTCAATTGTGATTAATAGAAAATCTAGAATAATTACAATCACAAAATTAATTTATATTTCGACAACAGAGAGGACACAAGTTGAATGGATTATTCAACTATGGAATTGTTTTAAATGAAATGAAGTTTGGCTTGCGTTAAGCGCATTAAAATCATCTGTCACTTTCAGACAACAGTAAGTTGAAGTTTTAAGTACTTGCCGGCACAATTTAAAAGCCTTTATGATTAATTACCTACTTTCCACTCCGTAATCTGATGTTTGGCTTAAAAGTAAGAGTTAGACGAATAATGATTAAAGTGGTTAAATATGAAGGAGTATTTCAGTCCAGATTTTTTTTTATTAAGCTTTGCCTCGTATTTCATTTGATTCAAGGACACTTTTTGTTTGTTACATAAAATAAGAACCACAGTACTTCTTAGTTAAATGCAAATTAAAAAACTTGAAATAAATCATGCTTATGCGATGTATTTCATATATTTTTATATATAATTCTTCTGTGCGTGTGTATGTCACTGAACTTCTCCTAAACGGCATAGTGTTATAGCGGCAACAGAAATAATCAATATCATAATTATCTGTGAAAATTTCAACTGTCTTACTATCACGGTCCATGAGATACGGCCTGGTGACAGACGGACAAATAGACAGACAGATAGGTAGACAGCGGATTCTTAGTAATAGGGTCCCGTTTTTCCTTTTGGGTACAGAACCCTATGAAGTAATTTTTTTTATGCGAAAAGTTGTAAACCGAGCAAAGGGTTCACCTAATGTTAAGTGAATACCGCCGCCCATGGACATCTGCCACACCCGAGGTACCGAGGGGAGATACGTTGACAACCTTTTGATAATTGGGCTCCTGCAACCTCACTCACCAGACGAATCGCGAAAGTATTTGTCATACTTCTATTTTAAGCTGGTCTTCTGTGAGGTCGTGGTACTTACCAGGACGGGCCTGCCCTTTCGTGCAACAGCCGAGGCTGCTGCGTGGCCCTACCGCCGTAGAAGTATTTCATTATAAGTTCAATTCCATGAGTTAGCATTGGGATTCGATATTGAAAACTATTAAGAAGAAACCCAGTTTCATTACTTTCAATGAAATAATTAATTCAATACTTAAAAAAAAATCACTATCTCCTTTTATAAACAATTAATTCACGCATTAATGACTTAATTTCATTTAACTCTTAACACTACTCGCTGAATTACCAATCCCCCCCTATTAAAATATCTCCTCTTTTTTCTACTGATTCCGTTCTTTAGTCATTCAAGCTACAATGATATTTAACATTCCATCGATCTAATTTTGTAATCAAATTTATAAAATGCAATACGTGATACTCAGGCGTGCAGTGCGAGACGGGGCGCGACCGCGAACTAATCGCACTCACCCTGATGAAGGACCTTCGATGGGTCCGAAACTAGTCGTATACCGGGTTTACGTGAGTTCAGCCGTCTTAATATTACGTAAGGCAATATTTAATTGTTATAAGGCCGTTTATAACAATTAAATTAATACACACCGATTCTCACAGGTCAGGTATCCCAATTAGTGTGTTTCCTCACACTTATTTTAATTTTAAAATTAGAATAATTGAATTGAAGTAATTACTAAATCAATATATAAGGCTACAATTAGCTTTTAACTATCGGGTCTACTACCAAAGGAATCTGAGCATCTGTGCTGTCTGCTCGTGAGTGTCGACCCAATTCATCATTGGGTCGTGATTAATCACATGAATTATGACCAAATTGGTCAGAACAGGTACAGTGTTACAATTTTCGGTATCTGTGCATTCAGCACTGATGCCCACAACCCATTCATCCACAGGCACTCTGCACTTAAAAGCTACTAAGCATTGGAAGGCGTGCTACTCTAGGAAGAGGCGCTGCACTCAGAAGGCGCGCTGCACTCAGAAGGGGCGCTGCACTCGGAGGGGCGCTCACTCAGAAGGGGCGCTGCACTCAGAGAGGGAGCTTCATTTAGAAGGGGCGCTCTACAAACGTTTAACAAAATAATAATATCGAGATCCAAAAACTTAACAGTGGTAGTACAAGTATGCTTGCACTGGTACTGCAACATGTACTTGGCATAAGATTTATAGACGGAAGCGATTTTTGTAATGAAATTATGCAAAATAACCTAAGGCATTAAAGCTTTTGAGAGTGAAATCTTCGAACTCTATATATAAGAGACGCATGGTAAAGTCTGTTTAATCAACACATATTAATACATTTACATATTTTATTTGATGACTACTAGCGCAGTTGTCAAGGTATTGGCTTCGGTGCCGGGGGTCGTGGAGTCGATTCCCAGATGGGACAACTATTTGTGTGACCTACAGATAGTTGTTTCGCATCCTCGCGGCTACCTCACTCACCAGACGAAACGCGAAGGTATTTGTCATACTTCCACTTTACGCTGGTCTTCTGTGAGGTCGTGGTACTTACCCGGACGGGCCTGCCCGTTCGTGCAACAGCCGAGGCTGCTGCGTGGCCCTACCACCGTAAATCTCGCATCTTGTTTAAATGCGCGATCTCAATTAGAAGTTACATCGTTGAAGAAACTGAAAAATAATAAGGAACCAGGCGGTACTTCAAAAACACCATTTAAATAGTATGAAATACAATCGTAAAGAAAAACCTGAAACTGAATCAATAAAATCTGTAATTAGTTGACAAATCTCTATACTCAAAGTATTCAGTTTCCAACAATTCCTTTGCCTTTCCTTTTTTCTCTATTTGCCGATTCCTTACAGTGTGTTCACTTAAGCGTTCAAGTTTGCTTTGTGAGAAATTCGATTGGTTAGTTTGTGTATCTTCCAAGTTCTCCACTCAAGACTACTTAAGCTGACGTCAGCTTCAATAAACTGTGTCGTTCCATCCCTTTTTTGTAATAGGGGTCTACGTGTATTTTTCCTTCAATATTTTCCTTCTCGATTTTGTTAATTTTTTTTCTGTTTTGTGGAATATAACTTAAAGTAAATAGCTGTAATGAACCCGATACACACTACTTGTATTGTTTTTGTTAAAAGTTGATAAACGAGCGAGGCAGTTCTCCCGATGGTAATTGATTACGGTCGCCAATGGACACTTAAAAAACCATATGGATTGCAGATAACTATGACATGTTGCTATCGATTAAAAATTGGGCTCCGATTACCGGACTCACCAAACGAAACGCGAAAGTGTAGTACTTTACAATTTACGCCGGTGTTAAGTGAGGCCTTGGTACTTCTCCGGAAGAACCTGCTCATTCGTGTACTTCAGAAGCTGCTGCATGGCCCGCAGAAAATATATTATTATGTGGTATAATAAATTTTAACTTAAATAAATAAATAATAAAATCTGTCATATATCAACTTGCTGTCAAAATGTCGTTTGAATAATTAGTTGACGAACCTAAGGGGCATTATAATATAATGGTGTCTCTATACACATAAACAAAGATCTTGTGTTCATAATTGCCCTGTATAAGTATGTCTTGTTGTTCGGCTGTTAGAAAGCAAATGAAAGTTAAATTGTGTAATTGAAATTGAAATGATTACTAATGGTTCTCGCATATATTTATAAGGATTAAATAGAGCGAATTAAAGCCCATCATCTAGTTGAGTATTCGAGGCGTTATGATACTTATTAATTGAAGACTAGGTTTCACTACTTCTAATTAAAGGATCAATCCAATATTCGAAAATGATCTTCTACTTTGTTCTGCTACTAAATGAGTTAATTAAATTACTTCACACATTAATCATTTAATAGTAAGTCTTTGCCTGCTGAATTAATAACTAAATTCTTGGGTATATTTGTAAAGGTTTTGCTAAATAAAGTAAATTAATGGAAAGAAGGTTATCATTTACTGGACTGCCTCGTGTCGTGATTTAAATCGTTTCTCCAGTACTTTAGCTTTTAAACCTTTTTTTTGCTAATCTAATGTATATTTTATTTTTCATTTCTATCTTAACCCCTTAACTTCGTGAAAGCCTAGGAATTATTTGAAGTACATGGCCAGGTAATGATTATATTGATTTATATAAGGTAATCTATTTTTAATTGGAATTATGATAGTTTTAGCTAATTCGCCTACTAGACAAATCCTTTGACAGATTTACTAAGATATCATCAATGTGGGTATTTTACGGTACTTTACAAAGGCTATTAACTGTTCCTAAATAATGGCTTTATTAACAGGAACACAGCAGTTAATTGAATTAATTGCGTTTTACTGGCGCTAGACACATTAATGTGCTCAATTTAACAAGCTGGTGAGAAATTAATTACGGTGAGACTTAATGAGAAAACTTAGATAAATCAGATTTAGTGGCTAATTTTTGGGATATAAAAATTGATTCGTTTAATTATAAAATATATTTGACGACCCTTATTCGTGAGTAATCGACCGGTACAAGTTAATGAACCATTTATTCAAACGTTTTAAGTAACGACCAGTTTCTGCAGCGAATGGCACCAATGCTTAGCTAAGAGACTGCTATTCGCACCATACACTTCAGTAGTTATACAAATTTTGTAAGTTAATTTATGCCTAATTTTATAAAACATGGTTATTGATGTGATTATGATTAATATAAGTTTATCTAATTTACAAAATTGAAATATTATAACTAATTTACCACTTAAGCATTGTATGACTATGATAAGAGAAGGATGCAATAAATCAAGAGGGCGCTAATGATAAAATCGCTGGATTAAAAGGAATAAGTAAAAGGGGATTTCCACGATATGTTGAGAATTAAAAATATACCGGCCAAGTGCGAGTCGGACTCGGGCATAAAGGGTTGCGTACCTAAAGCGGAGTCTTAGTATTAGGATCCCGTTTTACCCTTTGGTTATGGAACCCTAAAGACAGTTCGCACCGTGCGTAGAATAACGTTCTGTGGTCACATAGAACGAATTTGATTTTATCATCGGAAAGCCTTAATTATTGTCTACGCTTTCAGATGACATTATTTTTTTTTTCGTCTGACTTATAGATACTGAGATTCAGAATAGAACAACGTTCTATCTGATTTATGCTCCGCAGTACACGGACATATGTACGTTTAGACACTGATTTTTTGTACTGACTAGACTAAGCTTACTAATGTAATAGACGAGTGTAAAATACTCTACTAGATTCAATTGATAATTATTGCACAGTCACCCACTTTTTATGGTGTTTTCGTTGAAAACAGTGCTACATGCGTTTGTATCATACATATTTTCTGAGTTTTTAGTAGAACAACGTTATAAATGAACGTGTGACCCATTATTTTTTGGAATGTTCCGTTGAACAACGTTATATAAACGTGTTTATGTGATCTTGTGACCCATTAGTGATTGCCATTTTCCGGAGGAAAACGTCACTATTACACATGAAACCTCTTATTTCCTACATTTATATAATTATTAATTCAAAAAGTATACTGTTTGTTAATATACCTAATTATATCACAAACCTCAAAAATTGTAATAGCAACTGCCATGTATAAGAAAACTGTAACCAAAATAAAAAAACAATAATTTGAATCGGCCGTCCTGAACAATTACAATTTTGCAGATGTCACGTTGTTCTACGCAGGGTGCGAGTTATAAGTTGAAAAGAAGTGGATTCTGCTTGTCAATGTGTTGATGTAAACACGTTGTTGAGTGATTTTCGATTTAAACCTTTATCCCTTTGAGTCAAATACCTAAAATTGTTTGTTTTGTGAGTGTTTGGTGGTGGTTTCTGTGGTATTGGTAAGTGTTTTTAAGTTTACGTTCCACCCCAATTCCCCATGAGGGAATTGGGCGAAGACAAACCACCGGATGGGGGAGGAGGTCGCCCTCCCGATAATAAAATGGATACTAGTGACTCCATCGTCACAACGCACCCAAATATTAATACTAACCGTAAGCGACCGGCAGAAAATATAGAAACTTCCGACAAAAAAAAAAGTGGTTCCACCCTCGACCTCTTATCAATCAATATACTCCAAAAAAGGTTACGAAAGTGACTCCAAACTAGGTTACAGCGACTATGACAAATCTCCATTCATTGTACACGTCACCAAATCTGAACCTGACTTTTCATCTGGCCTGTCAATCAGGCTACTTAAATTTGCACAACTTATACATAAAAACAAAGTGCCGGGTATAGCAGAAGGAGGCATAAATACACTAGGGAGAAACAAGTTTTCAATTGAATTTAAATCTTACTCAGAGGCTAATAAATTCCTGTCTAATGATTTTCTACCTACAAATAATTTTAATGCTGTTATTCCAAGATTCCATATTACTCGCATGGGAGTGGTCAAAAGTATTCCTACTGACTGGACACTTGAAGAATTGTTAGAGAACATTAAGACTCCCTCCAATTGCGGAGAAGTTATTAGGGCTCGCCGACTTAATACAAAACTAAGAACAGATGATAAAATTACCTGGGTTCCTTCCACTACTGTAGTCCTTACATTTTTGGGCCAAACTCTTCCTGAAAGAGTATACTGCTATCAATCATCCCTTCCAGTCCCCACATATCAACTACCTACTATTCAATGCAGAAACTGTTGTAGATTTGGACACATTGGGTCCCAGTGCAGGTCTAAACCAAGATGCTATCGCTGTGGGCAGAGTCACACTGGAGATAACTGTACTATCAGTGAAATCAATTCCTCTTGCATATTGTGCAATGGAAATCATAGGGCAACCTGATTCCAAATGTCCTGAGCATTCTAGACAAAAGTCCATTAAAATTGTGATGTCTCAGGACAATATAAGTTATTCAGAAGCCGCTCTCAGGTTTCCCCCTTCCAGACGTCCCTATGCTGACATGGCCAGCTCTTCCCCTCAACATCATTATCCGCTTCAAAAATCCCAACAATCTCAGTCATTTCAATTATCTCGGCAAACTACCTATCCCCTACTTTCTTCTCCACAATCCAACTCCCAGACCTCTTACTCCAAAACCCTGTCTACACGCCCCGTAACTTCTCTGGGCAAGACCTATGATGTCTCAGCCCACCAAAATATAATAAGCTCTC